CCTCGGGTGGGTTCCTCCGGGAATTTCTGTAACATGTATTTTCAGATTCAGATTCAGTCATACATATAGAAATGACTGAATCATGTACTGCAAAGTGTAAGCCCAAAGCCTAATCCATGTTATCTATATGTTGTTCCTGTTTAATCCAGTTACTGATTAGCAACTGTACAACAATGAGACTAAACTAAAGACAAACAATATCTAGGCTATCATGGGGCATTCAATTCTTAATCGTGTAGCTTCTCTCTCCTCTTTCCTCCCTTCATGTAAACCTTTCAATTTGCAGGTTGCTGACTTGTACTGCTCTGCCTGCAAGTGTGCTCTGTGTGAGGACTGTCTTCCCAACCATGCAGAACACCCAAAGGTGGCCCTCAGTCAGGCCCTCGAGCAGCACCGCAACAACCTGCAGGAAAGACTGGGCACTGTTCAGGACAGGTACAGGTTGAAATACTTGATACAACATTAAGAAACTTTATTCAGTCCATTAATCTGTGCCCCCAACAAACCCTTATGTTAAACTGTTGTGCAGTGGTGCTAGTTTCCATTTATCAACAAAAACACACACAAACCCCCCCAAAAATTTTAATGCTGAATTACTTTTTTAAAATATGTATTATAAACTGCAGAAGTAAGCCAACGATAAACATCAGCTGGAGTTTATTAGGATTTTATTATTTTGATATATTGTATATTTTTTAGTAATTCCCAAAGACCAGGAGAGGGCTCTCTCATTAAGCAAGATTCATTTAAGAGTCACTTGGGCAATGCTCACTGATTGTTTTTTGCAGCAAAACACAGATGTTCCCTAAATGCCTCACATTTGTTAAGAAAAAAAAGATAGAAGAATAAAATAGAAGAGTGACAGTGTTCTGGGCCAAGGACTTTTCCCAAGAAAGACAAATAATCTCTGGAATTTAATTTAAATGCTACTGTGGGAATGAGATAGTCAAAAGATTTCTTAAAATACATTCGGACTTGGGTAGAAAGTTAAAGAAGTTACTAAGTATTTATATTGAAAATTGAAAATACATTCATGTATGGAATTATTAGTAAACAGGGAGTAGTAAATGTAGGTCCCACATTCAAATTGCACTTAAAATACTAAAAGTCACATTTTTTTCATTTGCAAAATTGGAAAAAAATAAAATAAAAATCAGCTGATAGCATTTCATTCTTGTAGATCAAACAGGTACAGATGTATTTGCTGTGGAGAACAAGTTGCATAACAACTGACATATTCAGTTAAAGTATAATGTAGGCATACTTAATATAACTCAGTCACAAGTAACTATTAACAGACAGTGGATGGAGGAAAGAAGAGATGCTGACATCTGGTGGACAGTGAGCAAAATACAGTACAAATGATTTACCAGGCTATAAAATCTTGACATTAACAATAACATGTTATTAATTTTTCTCAATTAAAGTTACAGGTTGCATATGTAAACATTTAACAACATAAATGTAGCATAAAGAAAGCTTGCTATTGTTGTTTTGCAAATTAGATGTAACTGCCTTTCTCTTTTGTGCGTGTCCTCTCTAGACTCCCTCAGATTTCAGATGTACTGTCCTTTGTTAAAGAGATCCTCCAGCAGCTGACCAATCAGAGGGCTTCCATTGAAGAGGACATTCAATCGAGCTTCGAGGACTTACACAAGCAGCTGGATGTTCGAAAGAGTGTACTGCTGATGGAGCTGGAAGTTACATACGGACTCAAACAGAAGGTAAACAGAGTTTGTTTAATTTTTCCTTTGATTCTTTGGTAAAAGTACAACCTCCTCAGTCACTGGTATACTTCTTTAAATAAAACAAATCAAATGAAAAAGTCTGAAACAGTCTAATGAAACTTTTCTTTTTCTGTCTCCAGGTTCTCCAAGCCCAGATAGACAGCCTTCTACGGGGAGAGGGGGACATGACAGCCACCTGTACCCAGGCAGAGGAGGCTCTGGCTGGAGATCCCTGTGTGGCGAGCCTGCAGGTGGAGCGAGAGCTGTGGGAGAGGCTGGGTGAGCTTGCTGGTCTTGGTTTGCCATGCCAGCCGGAAGAGAACGACCAGCTGGATCTGGTGATGGAGACAGATGGGTTAAGGAAGTCCATACACAACCTGGGGACTATTGTTACAACCAGGTGAGACAATTCAAATCAATTTCAACTCAGTTTTACTTATTTAATGCCAAATCACAACAACAACTGCCTCAAAGCAATTTATATTGTAAAGTAAAGATCCTACAATAGTACAGAAAAACAGAATAAACCCAAAAGTCAGACAACCCTGTATGAGCAAGCATAGGGGAAGGAAATGGAAAAGAAAAACTCCCCTTCAACAGGAAGAAACCTCTGGCAGAAGCAGGCTTAAGGAGGGTCAGCCATCTGCCACAACTGGTTTAAAGTGAAAGGGGAAAGACAAAAGACTGTGGAAGAAAGCCAGAGATTAATACTAACTAATGATTACATGCAGAGTGGTGTGTAAACACATAGTGAATAAAAAAGGTGAAAAAACAAAAAAACAAAACAGAAACACTCAGTGCATCATGGGAACACCCCAGCAGCCTAGACCTACTGCAGTGTAAAGCTTAAAAAGTTTTAAGCCTAATCCTAAAATCAGAGAAGCTCATTGAGACTTGTTTGTATCATTTATGCGCAGCTCCCTATAAGGTCCCACCACAGCATTTCAGTCAGGCTGAAGACTGGAACGGGCCATTGCATCACCTTGATCCTTTTCATTTACAGCCATTCTGTTGTACATTTGCTGCTGTGCTTGGGAACATGACTCTGACTCTGAAGAAAATAAGAGCAATCTATAAAATCCGCTGTATACCAAAGTATTCCAATCAGTGATAAATAGCAAGATGTTTTAGCTGTATTTTTTTTAGACAACAACAAACTGTTTTTCCAGGCTAAATTGTCAGCTTCTAAATTATTAAAGATTATTAAGCACACCAGCTTATCAGCTATCTGCTTTAAGGTGCATCTTTGAAAGTTATACCAGGAAGGCAATACATTCTGATTTAAGTCTTTCTTTGTCAGAGGAGCTACAGTATCCAGAGTCGTACGCAGTGACGATATAAAACTATTAACAAGATAACAAACTCTGTAAAAGCAGCGTTCAGGTAACTGCTTTGCACTGTGTTGGTATAAGGCACTGAAGAAGATGCAGCTGAGGAATTATATCCATGGCCGACACAGTCTCTAAGGGGATGGGGTTTTGGGGCATTTCAATGATGATGAAACATATTGAACCATGTGGTTTTGGATTTAATGCCATTTCATTAACACTCGTCTTTGTTCTCGTCCTCAGTGCGGTTGCAAGCCAGAGCGAAGCCATGGGTGCAGGTCTTGAGCAATGCATTGTTGGGCATCCTGCCTCTGTTACCATTGTAACAAGAGACAAGTCAGGGGGAGCCTGCAAGAGTGGAAATGCGATCCTCTCTGCTGAGGTTCATTCTACACCTAAACTCCATAAAATTAAGTTCTACTCTGTGTTCACACTTCAATGCAAACAGTGACAAAACATTATGATGTGTTGATGTAGGTATTCACACCAGACGGCAGCATAGTAGATGGTGAGATAGTGGACCACAAGAACGGGACATATGAATTTGTGTACACGGTGCCAAAGGAGGGTGACTTCTCACTGGCTCTCCGTTTGTATGACCAGCACATCAAAGGAAGTCCCTTCAAACTGACTGTCACCAAGACTCTAGAGGCTGAACTAGACGTAGGTGGATCTTTCTTTCAATATTAGTACATTTCTACTATCCATTTGGCAAATAATGTCTAAATTCCTTTAATAGCAACTGTGATATACACCAACAGCCTATGTACGGCTCATTCATGTCCAGTGTCCTTTAGCATCTGTGCTGAAGGACACTGGACATCAGGACCTGAAACATCAGCTTATGACATTACTGTCTGACACTCTCTTTATAATTACTGTTATGAAGGCCTAGTCAAGTAGTTTTGCCTAAACCTAAGAGGATGTTAATCCTCTTCCCATCAAACGAAACTTGCATCCAAGTATGTCCAATCTCACTGCAAAACTTTGTGCTAATGTCCTCACACAACACAGAAAAGCTCGTATTGTTGACCACGTCGTGCTTGTCTCTTGAAGTTCAGAGTTCTTGAGCAACAATGATTCAAGCAACATGACTTAAGCAATTATAAAACCTAAATTTATTTGATTGAGCTTACCCTAAATTCATCGATACATTGACTTTGGCAAAGGATGTAGGAAGCTTTCCAAACAAAAACCATATAACCTTCATAGTTACTGTGTATTGTGTTTCCCTTTTTGCTCTCTCTCCAGGTTTCTCCCTCTACAACAACGGCAACCAATTCAGCAGCCAATGCTACGCCATCGACTGGCTCATCTGAAGGAGCAAAGAGACGAGGAAAGTCACCTGGTCAGAAGAAGAAAGGCTCAAAGAGGGCCAGCAGTGCCCTTGGTACCCCACGGCGCAAAACTCAGAACCCCATTGAGGACGACCTCATTTTTAGGATCGGTGAGACATTTAGCTGGAAGAAACGAATCGTACAGACAGACTAGGATATTGTACACTTGCTTTTTTAAAGCTAATATATCCTCATTTTTGTGACACTGAAAGGCCCTTTTAATGCTTCAATCAATTTGGGCTTATTTCTCCCCATCATATGCATCATTTTTTCCAACATGGTGGAATTTTCATCTGGCTGATTCCAGTGTCTGTTACTTGTTTCATGTTACAGTTTATGAAGGGACTAAAGTAATGACATTGTGAATTTTAAAAGCTCAGATTCACCAAATTGTCAGTATTGTAGTATTGTTGTTTTTTTTTTAATTTTTTAATTTTAGCACACAAGTATGATGGGACTGTCAGAATAATTCTAGTATTGACATCATAGCTAATCTTCTCCTACCTTAAACACTTCATAAATTTGTCCTGGAACATTTATGTTCGTATGTGTGGTGCACCACACATACGAACATTTTTATTCATATGTGTGGAATGGTGAAATGCCCAGTTTTAGTCTTGATAATAATATTCCACTCAAATGTCTTTTAGACCTCGCTTCAATTCATTCAAAACTTAGGTAAATGTGAAATGGTCTTCCCATAGAAAGCCTTTCTTCAAAGTCAGTAACACAAAAAGAAAACATGGATTTTCACCTTTTACTTTCAACAAAATTTACACAAATGTGCCTTCTTTTTAAAATAGAAAACACAATCCATGGGTATTTTGTGCTTGAGGGGGTAGGTCTAGTGCAAATGTATGTTCAAGGAAACTTGAACTCAAATTGAAGCTTCATGCAAAAGGTTGTTTATGAAAACATTTCTATGTATAATGGAATTTAAAATCATATTTTGCACTATTCAGGAACAAAGGGAAGGAATAAAGGAGAGTTCACCAATCTTCAAGGAGTAGCTGCCTCTTCCAATGGTAGGATACTGATCGCTGACAGCAACAATCAGTGTGTCCAGGTATGGCCTTCGAAAAGCTGCAGGGTTCATATAAAACCCCCAAATTTATATTGAAAGTTAAACAATGTATATATGTCCAGATTTTCAGCAATGAGGGAGAATTTAAGAGTCGTTTTGGAGTGCGGGGACGATCGCCAGGTCAGCTACAGCGTCCGACTGGTGTAGCCGTGCACCCCAGTGGTGACATCATTATTGCTGACTACGACAATAAGTGGGTCAGCATTTTCTCCTGTGAGGGCAAATTCAAGGTATGTGTGCTGATATGTCAGGGTTGAAGGGGTATTGTACTTTATTGCAAGCAAACCCTCATTCTAATGTTTTCAGTGTTGATTTATGCAGCAATCTTATTGTTTGTATTTGTTGTTCACCAGGCAAAACTTGGCTCTGGCAGACTCATGGGACCAAAGGGTGTGTCTGTGGACCAAAACGGACATGTTATTGTGGTTGACAACAAAGCTTGTACTGTCTTCATCTTTCAGCTGACTGGAAAGCTTATTACCAAGTTTGGAAGCAGGGGCAATGGTGACAAGCAGTTTGCAGGTAATGTGGACTAAATTGTATTATTTCACGTAATTTAATTCCCAAAAATCCACTATGGGCTGTAAAGAATAAATATACATAAAGAAAAAAAGGCAAATATATGAAGAGAAAATGTTTGATTCTGGATAGTCTTGAGATTAACGGCTCTTTAAAAAGTTAGTACTATATAGAAACCATTGATGTTTTTAACCCCATGAGGTCTGAGTCATCACTGGTAATGAAAGCAGTACTAGCTGCCCTAACCCCATTTTTTGGTGACCAGCACAAAGTATAAGAAATATAAATAGTCAGTTAGAGCAATTAGATTGCGTACCCTTTTGTCCCCTGACTGCCAAAACAATGAAAATGATACGTCCTAAAAGTTAAGGATTGGGACAATCACCACTGATGCCTTAGATCTGAGAGGGTTAAAACATTTACCCCCCAACTTTTGGCAATAAGGGAACAAACAACATTTTAACTTGCATTTCTCTTTTGTCCCAGGTTTTGAGGCTAGGGTTGTAGCTATCACTGATGACCCCAGAAGGTTTATGTGCGCTAATAAAAGTATTTAGGTGATGGTTGGCAGTTGCTAAGTCTGAAAATTGATTTAAGAACTGCGTGCACTTGAAATTCTGTTTAAAGTTTAACCCTATGACATTTAAATCACTTGATGACCCCAACCTTTAACAGTAAAATATTGTACATTTTGTTTTTTCTTTTCTTTTTTCCCCTTTGTCTTTTCATTCTAAGAGACTTCAAAAACGATTCAGATATACAAGTACCAGTGTTTCCTTTCTCTAAAATACTTGCGAATTGAAAGTGTTAAAAGAGGCAACACTTTGAAAATACATTGTTCGTTGTACAATGTATTTTCATATTCATATTTTCATATTTCTATTTCTTTGTTCCTGTTTTTCTTTCCTAAAGGTCCACACTTTGCAGCAGTGAACAAAAACAATGAAATCATTGTGACAGACTTCCATAACCACTCTGTTAAGGTACAGCATTTTACTGAGCTTAAAGGATAGTTTTAGTGTAATGTTATGGTAAAACAAGCTAATATTTCATATCAAGTCCAAGTATGGTTTCAGAGGATTCAAAATAATAAATCTTTATCATTATTTCTCGGATTAGGTTTTCACGCTTGAAGGAGAGCTTGTACTGAAATTTGGTTCAAATGGGGAAGGAAATGGCCAGTTCAATGCTCCCACTGGTGTAGCAGTGGATATTAATGGGAACATCATTGTAGCTGACTGGGGCAATAGCAGAATACAGGTAAAACGTTAAAATGTGAAAAAACGTTTATATACGGTCAACCTTTTATATATGAAAGCCCTGCTGTGTAAGGTATATATATATAAATAATACATATCTTCGACATTTCCAGGTGTTTGATGGCAGTGGCTCCTTCCTGTCCTATATCAACACATCAGCAGATCCTCTTTATGGACCCCAAGGTCTGGCTCTGACTTCAGACGGACACGTTGTAGTGGCTGACTCTGGCAATCATTGCTTTAAAGTCTACCGCTACCTACAATGATGGTGGCTTGGATGATGATGGGGGATGGTGACGTGGACGCGATAGACAAGTTGAGGTTTAAATGAAGTGATAGAGTGAGCACTGTCAAATAATATGAATTACTGCATGAGCCTCTAACTGCTCCCTGTGAATGTTGAAAATGGGATAGAAGGGATGAAAAAGTCAGTGAAAAAGTGTTCAGTTCCCATTCTGGGTTCCAACCAGAACATGACGGAAGTACCTAATTTGAATATTTTTGGTGATTATTATTAGGTAACATCATAAAAAAATAAAATGAAAACAAAACATTGATAGCAGATGAGTCTCAAGAGGGCTTAAGATTGGCTCACGTGAAAATCTCAATAATTTCCAGCTGTCATACAGACATTGCAGAATGGGATGTAGATAAAAGTTATGCAATACTGGTTCAGAGATGTCAAATTTGAGAGGTTCAGTGTCTATAAATGGACTAACGAGGAAAGCTTTGGATAATAAAATGAAAAAAACCAAACAAAGGCTGCAAGAGAGATGACAATGATTTCTTCAGAAACAACTGCTTACTAAATTTATGATGTGGTCAATGAGACATAAAAAGGAGCAAAGGCATTAACGTGGGCATAAAGGGACATAATGGAAATAATGTGGAGAGAATGAAATGAAAGACTGAAAGTTTTCTAATGTTCTGCCTTCTTGTGCTGTATGTAATACACAAAATAATTGATTATGAGCTAAAAGAGACCTATGTCTTCCAATTTCATTACATAATTAGAGACTTCCACTGTGGATTTGGTGCCACACTTTAACATCCCTTAAACAAAGCACTTAACTTAAAGGTAGTGCAGCTGGAGAGGACAGCAATTGTGCTGAAGCATACAAGATTTTATTTCTAAATATGACAAAAAAATTCCAAATCTATAAGACATAGACCACTTTTAGTCCAAAGTGCATTGTTTGTACATTAGGATTGTTTGAACATGGAATGTTATTTTGATCCCATATAACAGTATTCTTTACAAATCTTAGGTAATAGATTCATTATTAGAAATGATTGCTTGACTCTAATTCTGACTGTCTGAATTAATGACTGATTGACTTGATTTGACAAAAAGCATTGTGTGTCTATGCTTGGTTTGAGTGTTCAGATATTTTTTTCCTGATAAACCTGTTGCAATGAGGAAAAAGTGAAAAATTTATCTTATATATTTGTGAAGATACGTTTAATAATATTGCATAAGCTGTAATCAACATATTTGGACTCAGTAACAGCAGCCGTCTTTTGCAGGAACATTTACAGGTCTAGTGCCCTCATGAGCCCTTTGAGCCATTTCGTTTCCATTGCATTTTAGGATCAGTTGATTTTATGATGTGAACAAACCAGTTTTACAATGTCAAGGTCTGTGATACCAATTCACAACGCATAAGTTAACAGAACTGATGTCCCATGAAATCAAAACAACAACAACAGTGACAACAATGGAGGGGACCAGGATGACTGTTGCATTTACATTTGATGTGCTCCCCAGAACTCCTCGCTATGTCCTGCAGTTGAAATGCCCTATTTTTACATATGCTTGTCACCATGGCAACAAAATATCAGAAGGATATTTTGGGGGAAGGAATTCTAGAATGTCTCTATTCATTCTTCCTTATTGACAAGGATACAAGAATGCTTTAAGAATTCTGAAAAACTGCTGTTGCCCGCTTGTAAAATTCCACATATTCTGTCAAAAAAGAGAATACCTCAGTGTTCTAGAAGCATGCCTCTGTTGTTATGTAACTGTTGACACCAAACATATCAGACATCTACTGCGAGCTCCCATTTTACAAGTCTAACCTAAAAGACAATTTCCAGTAACATCAGTAAAGTATAGTTAAAGTAATGTTAAAGTCTCAAGCATTAGCCATTTACATAAAGTGCTATATGCCAGTAATAACAACACTACAAAGCATTTACATAAACTGTTGAATAGGTAAGAGAAGAATTTATGTTATTTCCATCCACGACGAGTTGGGGAGATTTAACATGCACTATTAATATACTGCAAACTTCTTTGTTGATTGTGGTAGTTTAAGTGGCATCACATCAATTACTTACACATTTAGTCTTTACTGAAACAGGAATTGAGAAACTCATCATTATCTTCACAGTTGGTCAGAGATTCTCTAAGTTATATATTTTACTACTTCTATTTATTGCTTATTATTTATTTATCTAATTAGTTATTTTCATCTTGCCATTTGATTGTGTTACACCATGTGCATTTAAATTCATAAGTGCCCATTACATTTCATCTTACTAGACATTTCAGTCTTTAGGCTGTATTGCAATGGGACTGGAATTAGAACTGCTGTTAATATTTTGTCAAGTTTCCTTTTTTTTTTAAAATCTTTTGTTAAATTAAAAAAAAAAATCAAGCTCATCAGTTAGCAAAAATAGCTCATTAGCACCTCATTTTGGGATCAACAACACGTTTAACTCAAAACTAATAAGTTAGCTGTAAAAACAGTGCAGTACAATGACCAACCTTATGAAAACATTAGCTTTAAATGGCTAATACTGCTTTTTTCTTACATAACTGGTTACAAGCTAACTTATTAATTTTGACTTGTTTGTAGCCGTCAGTTTTGATGTTGAATGTTGATCATTTTTTCACATAGAAACAACAAAATCACTTTTAATAACAATGAAACAACTTCATCTTCAATACAATGACAGTAATCATTATTCAGTCCAGTAAAAGAAAGGTTGGCGCCTCCTCGTTTGTGTAATTTGTTAGTCTGTTCATGGATTTGCTAAGACTATATTTTCTAACATAAGCATCCTGTAATGCTGCTAAGTGTCAGATTTTGCTCATCAACTTGAAATAAGATCTTTTGATTTGTTGGTACTATTGATTGTTTTAAAGAAATTCGACTGTGTTTCCTAATGTAACCTGGGCTTTGTTTACTGGATATTGAGCCTTAATGTTGGTATTACATATGAATGTTGTTTGATCTGGTAGAATTGCCTTCTCAGTAATTTTGAAGTAATGATTGTTTTGGAAAAATACAGTAAAGAAGATTTAATTACAATTTCAGACACAAACAGCTCATTTGTAGCCAACACAACCATTGACAATTTTCTTTTGGAAACCTGAAAAATAAAAAATGCCATTGCACATATGTACAAATGTGGGTGTTTTACGTGTAAGATTTTTAGCAGAAAATGCAACAGCATTGTGTATTGCACTGGTTTGATTTTTTTTCCCCCCTGCAATCCTATTATGGTGTTTTAGAAGGCAGCTTTTAAAATACTGATCGCTTTCATACAGTTTCACTTTCAAGGTCTTTCTTGCTCTGTAACTGCTGTCATGTCTGTTCACTGTTATGGGCTATGACTTAATATTCACATACACTCAACACTGAAAATAAAGCATTGATTCCTGAATAGCAGCTGTTACTATGGCTTGGTTTTGTCCAAAATGTGAGCAATGTCAACTAATTTACCATCTATATACTTGGAGAGCCTTAGTCATAAATGTTAGAAAATATCAAAGGTTTACATGATGGCATGGGAAAGTATAATGCCTGTCATATTAAGAAAGCAGTGTTAAATATCTCTACACTAATGACAGTCTTGTATTCTCATTTCTTTGAACAACTGCAAAATGTTTATATAACATTCTTCAAACATCACTTAGTCATTTTTTAAAGATATGACTACTTTGTGCTTGGAACGGTTCACAGCCGAGTGTGAAGCGGTGGGAATGAGAGTCAGCACCTCCAAATCTGAGGCCATGGTCCTCAGCTGGAAAAGGGTGGAGTGCCCACTCCGGGTCAGGGACGAGTTCCTGCGACAAGTGGAGGAGTTTAAGTATCTCGGAGTCTTGTTCATGAGTGATGGGAGAAGGGAGCCGGAGATCGACAGACGGATTAGTGCGACGGCCGCAGTGCAGCGGCCGCAGTGATGCGGACGCTGTACCGGTCTGTTGTGGTGAAGAGAGAGCTGAGTGTAAAAGTGAAGCTCTCAATTTACCGGTCGATCTACGTCCCTACCCTCACCTATGGTCACGAGCTGTGGGTAGTGACC